CAAGTCCTATAGTGTTTACATAGGTACAACAAATCCGATATTTTATTATCTATCAGCTTATATATTTGCTGAGCAGCGTTGCAGAGCCGGAATGACATATGACGGAGCTGGCACAGTCTCCATCTGCTTTTTTCCTTCATGTCAATCTCCTAAAACGTAAGTTCTGGTTCTATAGAGATGTAGTGTGTTTCTTCAATGCGCGACTCGATCTCCTGCATTGCCGGTTTAAAAGGATAATGACTATTCCTTATCGTTCTGCCCTTTAAGTTCGGTTTTTTCGATTAGCTGTTGAGCTACTCCTTGCTGTAGCCCTTCATCGTTCTTAGTGACCGGCATCTTTTTATATTATTTTTTTTTAGCACAAGGCCGCAGTAAAGGGCTTTCTTTTGAATTTTATATATATTTTTCATTAATTTTTTATTGCGCGATGAAATTTATTTATCTTTTTCTTGGCACAATTTATTTTTAAATTTAACAAATGTTTATTGCTGGCTTAAGTTTCATGTTGGATCTGTCGAAAATTGAGTAAAACTCCCCTTCGCTTTGGGCAGCTAAAGGCTATATGCCGACACTGCCCATATGAGCAATTGCATCATTTGAATCTCCAGGGAACCACGGCTCTCCTGTATCCACTCTGAACGAACCAGGCGCGCAGCCGCTAGCCCTCTCTTATTCCACCACCACAGAGAGTGCAGTAAATCGCATTATGGAGTTGTCAATTTGGCAATTTGTGCGATCCAAAAAATTGTTGTTATATATTTTATTTATTCGAAGTTTTGAGTGTCAACGTTGTGCTCAAAATTTAATTCTCTTAAAATTATTAAAACAATCGTTTAACAACCGCCCCTATTGGCTAGAAGCACGCGTGCTTACCAACTCATTCGCCCGCGAGTAAGTTTGCAATTAAGACTAACATAGACAAACAAATAAACTAGCAGAAAATAATCGCGTCTTGATTGGTACTGGCTAGCTGGGTAACGTTCAACATGACGCAATGCTACCGCTGTCGAGGGTTTGAGCATACCCAAAGATATTGCCGTCTTGTATATAGATGCGTCAAGTGCGGCGATAAACACAGCTCAGCTGACTGCACTAAAAGTAAAGAGGAACCAGAGTACTGTGTACACTGTGGAGGCGACCATGCTGCTTCATAAAAAGGCTGCACCGTTTTTAAAACGGCCAAGGCGCAGGCGTTCCCAAATGCTTCTCGTCACCGAAATGCCAAAGCCAGGCTTACTTTAGGAGCACCATCTGCTAAAATCGACCCACAAGTCAGCTTCTCGGTCGCGCTTAGAGGAGGAAATAATAATTCACAAAGCCATGGAAGCCATGGTTACTCGATTGGAGTTGATGATGGAAAAAATTATGTAGAAATTATTTAGCCAGATGATGCAAGTGCTAGCTACCGCTGTTGGTAAGCTATGCAAGTAAAACCTCACCATCTGGAATGCGAACAGCCTGTGCAATAGCAGGCCAGAGGTCGAATACTTCGTGAAGACCACCAACACAGATATACTCCTAATATCAGAAACTCACTTCTCCCAAAGATCTTTCTTCTCCATCAAAGGCTCTGATATTATTTACACCAACCACCCAAACGATAGAGCCCGTGGTGGAGCTGCAGTGCTCATCAAACAAGGAATAAAATATTTTGAACTGCCAGCATACCAACAAGATTGGGTGCAGTGTGCCCAGGTCAGGCTGCCCAGGCATAACGTAAGGGACAACGAGCTTAGTCATCTTTTGGAAAGCCTTGGCCCCAGGTATATAATTGGTGGCGATTTCAATGCCAAACACGTCTGGTGGGGCTCGCGAACCAACAATCCCAAAGGCCAAGCTCTTTAGCGTTGCATTCAGAAAAAAGGACTTAGCTGCCACTCACCTGGTGAACTCACATACTGTCCCACAGATCTGCGTAAAGCTGCCACTCACCTGGTGAACTCACATACTGGCCCACAGATCTGCGTAAGATCCCTCATTGCTATCTCCAAAGGTATAGCTTCCAATAAAATAGAATGCAGTGTCAACGAGAACTTATTCTCCGACCATACAGCTGTAACACTACATATCAATACCCCGGTCGAGAAAAAAGCGGCGCGCAAAAAGCTGATTAATAACTAAATGGACATAGACAGATACAAAACACGGCTGCTTACCAGGATCAACCCTAACGCCACACTTTCCTCCGCTGACGACAGTGACAGTGTAGAACCAGGCCTAACCCAGGAAATTCACAATGCTGCAGAGATAGCTACCCCGAAAAACCGCTTCAACCATGGAACGCCAGCAAGAGACCTTTATCTTTGGACTCCAGAGGTAGCAGCTCTCGTTGCGGAAAAGAGGCGACTCAGGCGTTGTTTTCTACCTCAGTTTTCTACAGGTTTTCTACCCGCAGCCCATGGGATAAAAACCTCCTTAATAGAGCCACAAAGCACCCAAAGAAGCTACTACAAAACTTGAGAAAGTGCGCTTTTGATAGGTTCCTCGAGGATCTCGAACCATGAGACCCATCAAATAGCTTATGGCAGGTCACACGCCATATTAAACGGCCTATAAGAAGGGCAGCTGTGGTTCGAAAAGCAAATGGGGACAGGTGCCGATTAGATCAAGTAAGAGCAGACGCCTTTACAGAGCACCTTCATGACTCATTCACACCGTTTGATCGCTGCTCATTGGCGGATAAAGCGGAGCTACCAAGTGTGGGTGACGCACGGATCGCATCAGCATCCCTGAACGAGATTGAGAATGAGGTTGCTCTGCTCAATCCAAAAAAGGCGCCTGGACACGATGGCATCGACGCAAAGGCAATAAAAATGCTTCCCAAAAATTGTATCCAGTTGCTGGCGAACGTTATTAGCCGATGCTTTGAGATTGAGATTTTTGTACGTAGAGTGCCGCCAGTATTGAATGAGCCTAGTTTGATCCCAGACCATCAGTTCGGCTTCAGGCACCTCCACGTAACACCGGAACAGTGCCATAGGAAAGTAGAGCGAATAATGCGGGCATTCGAAGAAAAGAAGTACTGCTGTGCGGTCATGCCCAACGTGAAGCAAGCCTCTGATAGGGTATGGCACCCCGGTCTACTGCATAAAGTTAAAGCAAACTTACCAGCATCCTACTTCAAATTTCTTAAATGCTACATCTCCTGCAGACAGTTTTACACTAAGTGCGGTGATGCTATCTCATCTATAAAAAACATCAGAGCCGGAGTCTCACAAGACAGCGTTCTGGGACCTCTGTTATACACGGTGCACACAGCCGACATGCCTGTCAGCCCTGAGCAGAGCCACGTACGCGGATGATACTGCTTTTCTAGCAACGGTCAACACACCGCAGTATGCGTCCTCCATTATGCAGCGTCAATTGGACTCTGGACAGCTGGCTGAAAAGGTGGAACATCGCGATCAACCAAGAAAAGTCCACCCATACCACCTTTACGCTGCGTAAAGGGAACTGTCCTCTAGTTTTCCTAGACGGAATACAGATTCCGGTGACCACAACGCCTATTTATCTAGGCATCACACTCGACAGACGGCTGAAATGGCGCGAACATATTGTGCGCAAAAGGAAGCAGGCAGAAAACAAGCTGAAAAAATATTATTGGCTGATCGGCAGGCAGTCCAAATTGAAGCTTCGCGTCAAGCTTTTAATCTACAAAACAATTATCAAGCCAAAATGGACTTACGGCATTCATCTTTGGGGTACCGCCAGCTAGAGCAACTTGAGCATTATTCAGCGGTTTCAAAATAAAACTGCGTATTTTATCAAATGCGCATGTTTACCATAAAAATAAGGTAATTCACAGCCAGCTAAATCATCCCCAGACTAGGCAACCACCCAAATAATCTTGCCTGTTTGACACCAGCTCAACAACAAGACGGCTTAAAAGTCAACACCCAATTGACCTCCCCCAAAGAGTCTAACACAGAAACATTTAATTATTGGCCAATAAGGGGCAAATCGTAAATAAATAATAATAAAAATAATAAAAATTTTAGCATTTTATATCATTCAATTGTGTTGTTTGTATTTGCAGTAGTGTATATATATCTATTATAAGTGCGTTCGCTACAGATGATGTATGAGCAGTTTTGTACAGGTTTTTGAGCCAGCCGGCAATAAAACTAATTGAAAATTATAAATATCAATTATAAATATAAAAGATATCTGAACACATCAGAAGTTTTTAAAATATGTATAGCAATTGTTATTAGTTTTAACTACGGTTGCTTCTAAGTCCAAAATTAGCAAACACACAGTCTATGTTCGCTTGATTTGTGCATTGTTTTCAAATATTGAGCAATGATATTTTCTCTTTAACACAAATTCTGAGTTTTTAATGTGTCTTGCTGTAAAAAAAATCACAGCAAAATGTTAGAGAATGTAATCTGGCTGTGAAAAATAGCGATTTACTTAAAAAAGGCTTTGCTGCTTCTCTATGACAGCCATAAATTTTCTGCTGTTAAGCTATTTATAAAAAGGATCGTAAGCAACGTTTAAAATATGTTACATTTGACGTTATCGGCAGCACCGAGGGTTTACTTAGTTGGTTGCGTGCGATATTATCGGCCACGCCGATATCTTTTTGTCATGTGGTCAGAGTATGTGGGGTGAAGCTGGCGGAGCCCAAATTCTTGAAGGGTGGCAACGCCAGACTTGCGATCCACGGCGCCAAAAGCGACGATTGCTATTGGCCGCCCGGTTCGCTCTTTAAGAGAATATGAGGAGAGTGGATCGCATGCCCTTGGATATGCCCTTGGCCGTCATTTGAGCCATTGACCCAAAAAAATTCAGCTGTGCAGATGGGCAGCAACGGTGCCCGCCTCGCCAATGTATGCGTGTGCCGATATTCGGCACTGATGATGTTGCTGCCCAAAAGTACGAGGAGTTCGACTTTGTCAGCGGACGTACCGGTTCGCAGTTAAAAATTTTGAGGTTGGATATTTTAATTTGCCGGCCACGGAGCATGTGCTTAACCAAAAAGAAAAAATCTAAGGGCATACATTTGTTCATGACGGGCTTTCTTTATTAGTTTATTGCTTAGTCCAGGCACCAGAGAAGCCCACGAAACATACCAAAGGCCAGGATTTGGCTCAGCAGCGCACACCAGTCATATCAGCGACGCCGCCAGCCAAGCGTCGGCGCAACCCTGAAGGCGACGAGACGAGCCACGACCGGACGCCAACAACGAAGAAGCGGCCACAGGCGAGACCACGCCCACATCCTCCGAGTAAGTCCGTTCCCTTTTGCCCATCCTCGTTCGAGCCCTTGGCAGAGAAATGATGGAGACTCCTGACCGTACTCCCTGAAAAAGAGCAGATTTTTTGTCGTTAGATTTAGTTTGTTAATTATATCTATGCATACATAAGCACTTACGCCGAGTTTCACTTTAGAGTGCGAACGGAGAGGGAAACTCCAAAGGTGATGCATCTGCGCCTGTAGAAGATAAAAATTAAAAGTTAACACTTGCGCGAACTATGCTCACATACTTACCCTTACCACCCCCAGAGAACTCTTTAGGTAGTGTAAGGTAGAATTAAGCGATTTAGTACAAATTTATATCATCTACCTGTTGCACGACTGATTATCGTGACATACCCAGTTTTACGTAGTTGTGTGGGCACATTGTTCCTAAATTGGCGCAACGATTGCCTCAAAATTGCCTCCGTGCGTGTTTCTTTTGCGGCGACTAGCAATATCTTTGTAATTCGTCGCCTGTTCCATTTAGTGCTGTTAAAATAAAAAAAGGAATTCTAGAAGATAAGAGAAAAATTTAGGCATTAATACACTTTGTCCATAAGTATAAATATATGCAACATTAATACGCACCAGGGGAAGAAATGTTCACGTGCATGAACACTAATTCATCTGAACGGAGACCTTATGCAAATTAGAAAGAAATAAAAGAAATATTAATGCCAATAATTATAAGAATACACAAACCATTATACGCACCTGTGAAGTTAACCAAATATCCACTTGCATGAGATTCTAAATAGCTGCAAAGATAAATGCCATAAGCGATGATTATAATTTTTATAAATTTTAGGAAAACGCAACCAATTATATACCATATCTGAAGAGAGAAATGTCCGGCTAAATTTTCTTAAATGGGAAGAGTTGGCATAACAGCCGGCACAGGCTGATGGCCATCTAATGGACAAAATGTGGGAGACGAGTGGGTGATCGTCTCATGGTTGGGCGGTTATGCTGGGTCCGGAACCGGGGCCCGATCTGGAAGAGTAAGGTGGATAAATAGTGTTTTTTGTTAATTTATATTGAGTGTCTCACCTTTGTTGTTTTCATTTTTTAATAGTTGTTACAGCTGTTTATTTTGTTCATGAGTTAGAAGTTCCGATTGTTTGACGTTATCGATTTGTGGTTCGCTTTGAATAGTGCCAATAACCATACAATGTATAGACATACCAAATGGCACTTTTAATCGAAACATGAAAAATCGAAACGAGGCGACCCCAATGGTACCTGCAACCATTTTAGTGTGCCCAGACAGAGTAAGACTGCTGAGAGTGGCAGCCGAACGCCGGCCTCAAAAGCTGAACGTTCAGTATGAAGCCGCATCTCGCTCAGCGCACAACGTCGCGGCTGATGCGTTTTCTTAATATATGTATGTATGCCATTTTTAAATCCTTACAGCCCAAAAACATATGTGTGTATGCATGTGCCGCGCTCATTGCTTTGCGCACTTGCGTCCATCTCTTTCTCCCTCCCCGAGATCTACAAACATTCCTAAGTTTGTGTTGTGTGGATGTGTGCACAATTAGATCGCGGCGTTTGTCGCGAGCCAGAGGTTATTTCTTCAATTGTGTGCCTTTTGTGCCTGTGGTAGCAATAGGCACTCACATTTTCTGCAAGGGTAATTCATCGTCGGCTTGTCGAAGAATTTAAGAAATGACCAAAAATTGACGCACACTCTTTCAAGTAAGCAGTTGTGTGAAATTATTAAAGGGTTCGGCCTGTTCATGTGCAAAATTGCTATTTTCCATGCGTGTTGTAGGGGGAAGGGTACCTGATCGCTGGCATGTGTGCATGATAACTTTTTGGATCGGCCAACCACGCACACTAACACACTCTATATGGATGGAACTATTAATGCGTCTGTGTGCGTGTTGGTTGCCTGCCTGCCTGCCCGATGCAAATTTGACAAAATTAGAAGTTTTTGGCATTTGTGAATTTCGAGCTCTACACACACATATACACACTCACAAACAGACACTTACAAATGTGTGCGAATGAGCTGATCAATGGTTTGTCGCAAGACAGAAATATTTTTATCAATGGGTGCGTAAATTTGGGCGACTGGCACGGTCTTTGTTTTTTTGGCATGTCTGCTGGGCTTGAATGAAACAGGTGGATCGCACTTGTCGCTCGTTTGCACTTTGATATGGAAAAGATGCAAGTAATCTTTTATTGGCCTTATTATAATCTTAGGTTAAAGGGTTTTATGACAGGCAATTAACGATCAGAATGTATAGCATGCGTCTGGATCCATACCATTTTCATTGCCTTTATATACATTTGTGCCTTTTGCGGCTGCAAGCCCTCCGCAGACATGAAAAAAAAACAAAGATCTTAAATTCTTCGACAAGCCGACGATGAATTACCCTTGCAGAAATACGACTTAGATATTTTTGTATTTTAAGCAAAATAGGTCCCTACAGTAAACAGAAAATAAATATAAATATTTCATTTAGGTCAATTAATTGTGTATTAAATAAAATTTGATCAAATTCTTCTCATCATGCCTGACTGGACGAAGAAATACATGATAGAGCATTCAAATGTGAGTGTCTATTGCTACCACAGGCACAAAAGGCACACAATTGAAGAAATAACCTCTGGCTCGCGACAAACGCCGCGATCTACTTGTGCGCACATCTACACAACACAAACTTAGGAATGTTTGTAGATCTCGGGGAGGGAGAAAGAGATGGACGCAAGTGCGCAAAGCAATGAGCGCGGCACATGCATACACACATATGTTTTTGGGCTGTAAGGATTTAAAAATGGCATACATACATATATTAAGAAAACGCATCAGCCGCGACGTTGCGCGCTGAGCGAGATGCGGCTTCATACTGAACGTTCAGCTTTTGAGGCCGGCGTTCGGCTGCCACTCTCAGCAGTCTTACTCTGTCTGGGCACACTAAAATGGTCGCAAGTACCATTGGGGTCGCCTCGTTTCGATTTTTCTTGTTTCGATTAAAAGTTCCATTTGGTATGTCTATACATTGTATGGTTAGTGATAGTGCTGTGTAAGTCATTTGCTACAGACATGTAGCTTTGTTGTTATCGATTGTGCGGACAGCGGGTCAGTGATGGGACTACACCCAGAGAAACCGATGAGCCAGGCCCACCGAGAAACAAGCAGTTCCGTAACAAATAAATTAATTTAAAAACAAGAATTAATTTTAAAATTTAAGTTAAAATGCCGCTGCCACCGCTCATATCCAATGGACTCTCTGCAATATAATTGCACCTTATACAATTTCAGTTATGCAAATGCTTGTTTTTAAGAGCAGCCAGTAGAAGCAGGATTAGCTGAAGTGGATTTATTTGGCAATAGAAAGGGAACAACTGCTAATTGGAAGTGGAAATGGACGCGAAATGTTTTACAAAACACGTTGGATTCCTATCGATATTTTTGATGCAATTGTCAAATGCTGTAACATATAGACATCCTATAAAATGAGAATGCACTATTTTTCATATCTTTTCAAAGATCTCATAATCGATTTTTCTTATCGAAAAACTGACGTCAACAACGAATCCGCAATGCAAAACAATAACAAAAGACTAAGTACAAACGATTTATTATAGTATTAAACCAAGTTATCACGATGTCTTGGTTTAATCTCTGGGATGGACTAAAAACAAAGACCTGTAGATACCTGCTACAAAGGTATTTAGGTCAGTTTTTTGAAAATAATCTTAACTTGGAACAGTTAAAAGTTGATCTTTATAATGGAAAAGCTGTTGTGGAAAATATTTCGTTAAAGGTTAAGGTAAGTAGTATATAAATCTCTGACGTAGGTCAGAGGATTTTGAATAATTATTTTATTGGATATCTAATGAATGTATACGTTTACTAGTTAACAAAGTAAATGTGATGTGAATCTATGTATATACATACGTTTATTAAAATAAACGCATTATCATTCTTGTAATTTCTGTGTTTGTGTATGAAAACGTATGTCGAATTGGAAAACTCTTGTGCTTGGATATTAAATATGAACCACACTTACTACTTATAAATACACAAGAGCTCTCTTAGCAACAACTCAATGGGTTAAGAATAATTTATTATACTTAAGGAAATACTTTAAAAGTTAACACCAATAGGCACATTAAGTAGCATATTGTACCCAACGATTATTACTGTCTTTATATTGTTCCTGAACTCATTAAAAACTGATAAAAAGCGTATAATAGTTTTGTGCAAATGTAACAAGCACAAGCAAAGTATGTATGTATGTATATTGTTGATCAGAATCAACCGCCCAGTCTAGCCAGCCTTGCCTATTTTACTGTCGATCCGTCCGTATGAGTACGTCGCGATCTTAGAGCCTATGAGAGATAGGATCTGGTTTTTCTAGTAGATTCAGGGTATCGCGCAGCTATATATTTAACTTTTACTTGCATTTTTATACCCTGAACCAATTAAAAATGTGTAAAAAGGGTATATTGTATATGTGCAAAATGTAAATGTATGTAACAGGCAGAAGGAAGCGTCTCCGCCCCATAAAGTATATATATTCTTGATCAGCATCAACAGTCGAGTCGATCTAGCCATGTCCGTCCGTCCGTCTGTCCATATGTATGAACGCAAGGATATCATAACCTATAAGAGCTAGACTTGAAATTTTAGCTGTAAGTCCCCCTAGTACCTGCGCAGATCGGGTTTGTTTCCGATAATCGATAACTTGCCCCGTTTCCAAGTAACCGATAAAATCGATATCGTCATCCTGTTTTTTGAACAATTTTGGTAAATAATAACAGCTAGAGTCATCAAACTTGACATGCAGCTTCTAGAATAGTATATATATTTGCATTTGGTGTTGGAAGAAGAGGGTTCAGAGTATCCCCTAGTCGGGAGCTCCCGACTAGAACCTCTTACTTGTTATTTATGTATTTTATTTAGTAATATTTTATTCAATAAACAGCTAAGAGAAACGGAAAATAAATTTTATTAGCAAAAGGCTAAGCAAGATTCGTTGTGTGATCTGTTTCTGGTCAGTGTTTATGTGTATGGGTGTGTATATGAGTATGCAATTATTAATAAATACAATTACGCATGCATTTCCAAGTTTCCTCAACTAAATAAGCATTTATTTGAAACATCAGTTGACAATATGGCACGCGCAGATCAGGTTTGTTTCCAATCGATTGCCTGGGCGGCATACCTGTTCTGGTTTTTAGTAGAGGAAGGATCTCCCCGACTAGACCACTGTTTCATGTTAACATTGCAATAGCACAACTGATGCTTTTTTAAAGACCGAGCTTACAACATAGCTGTGAATTGTATTCGATAGATTTATTCAATTAGTTCTCAATTGTTCCCTTAATGATAAAACTGTTACCTAAGGAATCGAAATAGTTTTTATTTGTTTCCAGGTTGGGAAAGATAATCTAGCTAAGACGATACGGACACATGTTTCGTGGTTGTTGTCACAGTTCTTCTTTGACCAAAGAATATGTTAGCTTTTCAAATTTTCTCGACGGGCAGGGAATTGCAAATTATACAGGAAACATATATGTACATACATATGAACATGTACATATGTATATTAGCACTTAAAAGTTCAAGTTCGTCATCAACAATTGGAAATTGATATATAGTGTTCCAGTGATACAAATTTAAGCCAACATAAAGCGACGCATAGTCAATGTCATATAATTTGTATAATGTAGGGTAATGTTATAAATATTCTAAGGGCACTAATCTTGTTATAGATCCGAATTTTACATTGACAAGCAATATATCTAAAAGTGGTTAATCTCTTATTAAGTTGCAGGGCCGACAAAAGAAATTATATATCTAAAGCAAATATAGAAAATATTGTTCGCAGTAAAGAATTTAAAACCAATATGGAAATTGTGTTTATTAAACATACATACACTGCCGCTCACTCGAATAGCGCCCCTAAATCTTTCAAAGTAAAGCAAGATTTCTCAATAAAATAATAGCTTTCAGGTTTCATATAATTTTGTTTAATTATAATTAAATATTCACCAAATAACAGAAAATAACAATGACAGTTTACCGATAACAATATTTAAAAAATATGTTGTTTGAGTATTCAAAATTGACGCTACAAAAATTGGCTCACTAGAATAGCACACTTCTCCTAATTAGAGTTGGATATTTGATATTTACTGACTAAGCTTAGTAAGTTTAACATGAAATAAGTTATTTTAAACCGATTTAATTATAATTAGTAATGATTAGAGCCCTCACGATTCAGGATAACTTAATATATCGTGTTTGGTAGGGAATATTACAAGCGCTTCATATAATTAAGCGATATTCTTGACCAGGCCTGTTGGAGCGCCTCAATAAGCTTCGATTTTGTAGAATATTGTTTCTCGGATTTATATATTTTCCTTGCTAGCCATTCCCGTCTATTTTCTATAACATTTTAGTCAGGGGAGTAAGGAGGACAGCTTATTAAAGTGATGATCCAGCCAAGCTTTGACGACAATTGCGGCGTGGATCGGGGCGTTATCAAGTTGAAAGTTCCACTGCAAGGTTCCAAACAACTCTCTCACTTCACTTCAGGATAAGTCTGCTCCAAAACGTTTTCGGTGACACTGCGTTCATTTTGGTAGTCGAAAATTGGAGTTGGAGCGTCCCATAATATGAAATTGCTCCCCAAACCATTATACCGCCCAGTCGACTATGCAATCGGTCAAGTTGATGCTCTTCCTTCCTTAAATCGTGAAAGTAATAGTTATACCCATCCGGGCCCTTCAAATTACATTTTTTCCCGTCGGAGAATACAACTCGGTCCCACTCCCGCTGCATGGTCATATTGCCCGAAATAAAACGTTCAACTGTAGAAACACTGGCAACACCAGCCGATTTTTTCACGTCCAATTTTGGGCTAATTTAAATAATATCAACCCATACAATGGAAGTCTTTAAGTTAGTGTACTTGTCGCTTTCGAAACTGAGCGTAAAGGGAATATGAGAAAGGGGGCGCTATTCAAATGAGCCAAATATTTTGTGCGTTTTTTACGCAAGCTATTAAAAATCCGGCGAATTTCCAAATGATACTTATTTTCTACAAGTAGAAGTATTAGGAACAAAATGAAAAAAAATTTTACAACTAACTGCATGAATCTGTGATCTATACGCATTTTCACTTTTCAAGAAAAGGGGCGCTATTTAAGTGAACGGCATTGTATGTATCTCGTTTCCCGTATTCTCCAGGTTGGGAAAATGGTATTTTTGGAAGTATGGTCTTGATTCTTGATTTTTTTGAATGACTTTTTTTTTTTAAGTTACTTTTATTTTTGCTAATTTGTATGACAACAACCAAATGTAAATCACGAACACATTTCTAATCTTGTGGGGCTAAGGGTGTAACGGTAGAGCCTTATCGTGGCGAACGTGCTTTGTGTGTTTTTGGGTATGTATATAAAGAAGCTGGAATGATTGTAACGGGCGTTGGGCGCTGAGCTTTTCAAAGAGATCACTCTAAAGTTTCCCATTCAAATCATGCATTTTTTCCGTGTTTTTACTTATCGGTACAGTGATGCGTATAAGATAATGCCGACAGCTTACTCATGTCTAATTCCACATTCAAGATGTACACAACGCGTTCTTTGGACATATTAATTCGTCCAGCACCATTTGGTGATCATCGTCTTCAAATCACGTTAAAGATCATAATTTAAAATATAAAAATTTTTCAATCGTGTGTTAAAACACTAGCTAAACAACATATGGACTGGACATCACATAGAAGAAAATTGGGCACAAAAGTATCGGTGGCATCTGGTCCAAAATCGCGAGCTAGGGAGTAACATATACATATATTGTCTTTTTATTCGCTTACACTACAGGAAACTGCTTGGCTTACTCTCTTCCATATGATTTGTTCAAAAGAACGGCAACGCCTTTTATTTTTATCTCGGTCGCACTTACTCTCAATGCTCTCTCATGTTTAGAGATTGCTTAAATGTGTGTGTATGTGACCGCACAAGCAAAAATGCGCACAAATTCAATTTTTTCAGAGGTTGGTGGCATTTCTACCACGGTTGGGTTTGACATGTCGATGCGAAATTCTTGCATTTTAGCTCGTTATCGTTGGTAAGGGTACCTAATCGTTGTCATGTGTGCATTCACGATTCTTTGGACGTGCTGTATTCACGCACACTTGTATATTTTGTATATGAATACAAGCACTTATGTGCTTGTGTGCCTGTTGCTTGCCTTCCTGCCTGTCCCCGATGCAAGTTTGACAAGATTTTGGAATTACTGATTTTCCTCTACACCTCTACACAAATCGTTGTATATAGCAGCTACTTTACTTTTATTGTGTTTTGGGAAATATATTTGTTTCAACTATTTTTAGCTCAAAATAGGTGTAAAAATAGCTGTGCTATTCAGAACATCGAGTTTTTTGCTAAACGAAACGTGACTGTTTTTTTAATTTTAAATTTTCACTTTTTTAATTGTGTGTTTATTGTTGTAATAAACTCAATAAAAATGGGTAATAGAGGTCGACGTTTATGGGTTGCCTTTTTTCCATCATTTCCCATCATATAAATGAGAAAGTTCAACAGATTTTTAGATGAAAATCCAAAATTTGAATGATGGTGCTTGTTTTGAAGTATGGGCAATTATTGTGTCAATTACTATCAAAATTTGGCAATTCAGTTGACAGTTAAACAGACTCTAATATTATTAAATTTGGAATTAGGTACAAACACTGCATTTTTACATTTTATTACATTCCGTGTTGAATAATTATGTTTCCTAATTTTTTTTAAAGGTTTAATAAGTAATAATGAGTTTATAGTTATCTTTATCTGAATGTCACTACCGCCATTAAATTTGTTAGTGCCTCCAAAATGAATAGATTCTACTGTATTGTTTTTTCTTTAAAAATGTTGCTTATAATTTTAGTTTGTTCTTCGGATATATCAGTGTTAACTATGTTGTGTTTCGACAACAAGATGGTAAAATTTATTTTGCGTCAATCTTCCATTGATTAATATATTTGAATATTTTGAAAGTTTTTTTCTTTCTGTTAATTTGTTTACTTTTTCTATTGTAAGCTGTTTTGAAAATTGCAAAAAGAAATTGCGATTTTGTCGTCAAATCATGTTCCGGTATTCGCAAATCGCAAGATTACTGCTGTTTAAAAACGGCTATGAATTCGCGATTTCAAAAGTAAATTACACATAAAAATTAAAAAAAAACTTTTGCTTGATTCTCTGATGCTATCAAATTATTTGTATGACCAATATGCATTAAAATATATTTTTAATAAATTGTTTATTGATTAATCCATTTGAAAATCACTGAAAGCTTCAACAATTTGCAATTTCGATGGGTGACAATTTTTTATACCCATAAGTTTATATGGGTTGACAAGGTGCACGGAGGAACGTGAAGTGTTTTGAAAAACTAGTTTAAAATAATTTAAGTAATATTAAATATAAATATATAACAAATAAAATGAGCTTTGTAAAAAAGTCAAAATGTGTTTCTATTTAAAGCTAAATTTAAATCGTGTTTTTTTTAAATCAATTACTTTGGGTAGCAGCTTAGTAAGCTGTTCAAAAAGACTAAAGTTGTTGACAAAATAATCTCTATGTATAAAACTGTTTGTCCTGACTGACTGATTGAGCTAGGAAGCACAAATTTTCACTGTAGTTACCTTTTGTGATGAAGGTGCACGTTAAGACGGAGTTTCGGGAAATTCTACCCGCAAGTAGGGAAAAATCGCGAAAAACATTTGAGTGATACTTTTTTGCTTACCATCCGATCGGCCTCAAACTCAATTTCAAAGTTCTTAGTTCAAATTCATTTGAGGGGCGTTTCACACCTTTCCAAAAATGTATTCCTCCTTGGAAATGGAAGCTATTTCCACAAAAGTGGTTAGTTAGCAAAAAACGTTGGTATGAAACTTTTTGGTTAACCATCGGATCGGTCTCAAAATTCTTTTCAAAGATCCTTCCTCAAATTCATTTGAGGGGTGTTTCGCACTTTTTGGAAAATCTATCCCTCCTTGGTGGGTGACGTTTTTTGATTTTTGAGATTTTTTTGGTGACGTTTTAATTTTTATCCGATTTGCTTCAAAATTATTTTTAAAGCTCTACATAAAAACTTAATGAATACGTGTTTAAACGGTTTGGGAAATTCCACCCGCAACAGTGGTAAATTGGGGGAAAACGTTGGTATAAAAGTTGTTTGTTTACCGTCCGATCAGTTTCAAAATAATTTTCAAAGCTTTTTGAGAACATATATTTTATACGTGCCACGGGCAAGGCCCGTCTAATATATAAAAAAAGGTTTGTTAAAGGATACCGTGTAGCTGTGGAACGTGCTTAAGCTAGACCTCCAACTAAGAACACCTCAGGGTGAAAGCAGACATATATTGTACGTATTGCCAAGATTATTATATTTGTTATATTTTTTTTAAAGGTGTGGTCGGAAAATGACCACTCACATAATATGAGTACAGAATATGCAAGGAATTAAAAGTACACCCAAATTGCAATCCAGCTGATTAGGGACGAAATAGCACGATTGTATGGTCTTTTTTATGGCATAAGAGGCACAAGAAGCACAAGCAGAAGGGTTTCCATATGAAGGAGGTCCACGAGGAGGCGCCAGTGACTATTAATAAATATATTTAAACATTGGTTCACAAATAAGTGGGCGCTAAAGGCATGCGTTCACCAATATTTTGAGCTGCATAATTTTGTTTATTAAAGTTGCTCTCTTTCATAAATCTGCCAAAATAAAACTGGCGTCCAATCCATTTCAGATGCCCTTGCCTAGCTCTTTCTCCAAACAATGAAGTCATGGCAAGATCCTGGGAATCTCCACTTTATAATTGCATACCTGTAAGGAAGCCAAAGTAAATCTACATATATATATCGCCCATTTTAAATTAATTTACTTATCACATAACACTGACTTTTAAAACAAAAATATTAAAAAATACTATCTCATACCCCACCGCAGGCTTGCCAAAAAAAACAAAGTCCGTGCCAGTCGCCCAAATTTACGCACCCATTCTTAAAAATATCTCTGCCTTACGACAAACCCTTGATCAGCTCATTCGCACACATTTGTGTGTGTGTAGAGTTCGAAATTCACAAATACCAAAAGCTTCAAATTTTGTCAAATTTACATCGGGCAGGCAGGCAGGCAACCAACACGCACACAAACGCATTAATGCTTCCATCCATATAGAAAAGTGTGTTGGTGTGCGTGGTTGGCCGACCCAAAAAGTTATCATGCACACATGCCAGCGATCAGGTACCCTTACCCTTACAACACGCGTGGAAAATTGCAATTTTGCACATGAACCCTTTAATAATTTCACACAACTGCTTACTTGAAAGAGTGTGCGTCAATTTTTGGTCTTTTCTTAAAATTCTTCGACAAGCCGACGATGAATTACCCTTGCAGAAATACGACTTAGATATTTTTGTATATTAAGCAAAATAGGTCCCTACAGTAAACAGAAAATAAATATAAATATTTTATTTAGGTCAATTAATTGTGTATTAAATAAAATTTGATAAAATTCTTCTCATCATGCCTGACTGGGCGAAGAAATACATGATAGGGCATTCAAATGTGAGTGCCTATTGCTACCACAGGCACAAAAGGCACACAATTGAAGAAATAACCTCTGGCTCGCGACAAACGTCGCGATCCACACAGCACAGACGTATGAATAATTGTAGATCTCGGGGTTTTGTGGAAGCTATGCAGTGAGAAAGAGATGGATGCAAGTACGCGAAGTAATGAGTGAGAGCGAGGCACATGCATACACACATATGTTTTTGGGTTGTAAGGATTTATAAATGGCATACATACATATATTAAGAAAACGCATCATCAGCCGCGACGTTGTGCGTTGAGCGAGATGCGGCTTCATACTGAACGTTCAGCTTTTGAGGCCGGCGTTCGGCTGCCACTCTCAGCAGTCTTACTCTGTCTGGGCACACTAAAATGGTCGCAGGTACCATTGGGGTCGCCTCGTTTCAATTTTTCTTGTTTCGATTAAAAGTGCCATTTGGTATGTCTATACATTGTATCACTAGTGGTATCACTAACCATACAATGCATAGATACACCAAACAGCATTATAATCGAAACACGATAAATCGCAACGAGGGACAAATGTGATCTGATCAGAAGAAGCAACAATGTTAATTCCTTTTTAAAACCTAATAATGATTTATGTATGTATGTTTTAGACAGTCGGAAACATCTTAGACCCCATAAAATAAATATATTCTTAATCAGCATCAATAGCCGAGTTGTTCTAGCTTTGTCAGACAACCTGTTCGTAAGAACAAACCCGTCGATATCCGAACCTTTGAGAGCTACAAGCTTGGATTTTTTAACTTGACTCATCCTAGTGCCAACGCAGTATTTAGTTTCCAAGCAATTCATATAAATCTATATGAAAATTCGTTGAGCAGAAGCTAAGGTTTGAGATTCAGAGACACCACATTTGTTATGTTGGACGGTCGTAAAATATACACATAGAAGAATATTTGACTTTTTAGATGCCTCCCCCCATCCTCACGAAATTAAAAAAGAAATGGATGCTCTTAATATTTTGTGCGAGTATGTGTATCTCCTAGTAGTGCACTCTCGACTAGAGCAGTCTTACTTGTACTTATACTTGTACAGTAAAACTTAATGGGATATTAATATGTTTCATATTTTCTGCTCAAATTGTTGTACCATGCCAATATGCAATCGCGCATTGCTTCAAAAACACGTATTTAAACGCCATACACACGTACACGTACAGACTACATCGCATATGATTTGAATGCGCACTGATCCCGAGGCGTCTAAAAAAACATTAAAATAAATCATGAATTAGACCAGCAAGCATATTCTCATAAGTATAGGCCAGTGCAAACTTTTGATCGGTACTTTTACGGAGGTTATTGAAAAATACATAGAAACTTTGCGAGCTGAGACAAAAATGTGAAATGTTATAAATCAAAATTCCGGTGCTTGACGACTTACCAAAAAGAGCTGTTACAGTTTAACAAAATGTTTGTTGATGAAGACGACAACTTAGCGTCAAATCCTTACTAATTCTTCACAAACAGTGGGAGCTTTCTTTGCGATTATAGTTGGGTAGCTACATTCTACAAAAATCGGCGTTCAGCAATAGTTATTTATTAATTTTTTTAATTAAATTTATATTTTAAATACAAAAAAAAAAAAATGTTATTGTGTCAAAAAATCATAATGAATTTCAGTTGGCTTCTTACTGGGCTACTATTCTAGAAAAACCACCTTGAATAAAAGTGTCTAATATTTTATGTTATTCATTTCGATAAGCTATTACAGCAACTGCCGCAATGCGTTGTTTGGCTACTTGTTATTCCCTGAACCCATTGAAAATGGGTAAAAAGGGTATATAATATATTTGTGAAAATGTATGTAACAGGTAAAAGGAAGCATCTCCGGCCCCATAAAGTGTATATGGTCTTGTCAGCATCAATAGCTGACTCGATCGTCTGTCCGTCTGTCCGTACATATGAACGCAAGGATCTCAGAACCTATAAAAGCTAGAGACTTAACATTTTTATCATAGGCCCGCGCAGTACGAGTTTATTCCAAGTAATCGATAAAACCCAATATCGAAATCATGTTTTTTGAGAAAATCTTGTAAGTTATAAGAGCTAGAGTCACCAAGCTTGGCATATAGCTTTTAGAATGGCGTATGTATCAAGTATCCTTTATTTTTTAACTATTGCCACCTCAAAGCTACCACCACATAGCTATAAATCAATAATAAATCAAATAAACCAACTTGTATTTCCCACAAATAAAAAACACAATCTTCATGCAATTGAGTTTTTAAGAATAAATAGTACAAGTAGATTTAGATATAGTACATCAAAATCGGTTAAGACACACAGAAACACACAAAAATTGTAGTTATATATATGTTTGTTGGCCACGTGTCAGCGGTCGAGTCCTATATTGGAAAACATTTTTTTTTTTGTTTTATAAATTTATTTTTATTACTAACGAGCGCATACCGTCAGCTGCATTTGGTGTTGGTAGAAGAGTGTTCGGGTATCCCCTACTCGGGAGCTCCCGACCAGAGCCTCTTACTTTTTCTCTATTTAAAAAAAACCAAAAGTGTTTAACTTAATTAATGTTGGTTAATGGATCGAGGTAAATGTTGGTCATAACAACCAAGGAAAACAAGGTACAAATATCAAGAATAAGCAGGCATGCCTATTTGAATACCCTCCCTCCTATGACAGACTTTGTCACCGACTCTAGATTTGCAATATTTTGTTCCCAGCCCGAACGTTTATAGCTTATGGAGTAGACTTTGGTTTTACTTGCATAAATATTTTAACAAATTATTTTAATTTAAGTCCTTTTTGAAAATATTTATGTTCTAGGCTCTCAATGATTTGTTTGAAGACCAAGGCTGGGCTTTTGAAGTGATTTCCGGGCATATTGGATGTTTAACGGCAATGGTACCGTGGAATGCTCTTATGACAAACGATAGCTCCCTTAATATTTCAAACTTGACAATAACTTTGAGACCAGTCACACGTTGTCAAAGTGGAACAACTATGTTAGAGTCTATGTGGTCTTCCGTTAGTAGTTCAATGCAAATGGCGGAAGAATGCATGAAGCAAATTGATGATGACGTACCATTTTTAAACCACAACAATACCTTGATTGGCTTAGAAAAGTTTGCGGAGACCATTGATAACGGTGAGTTATAGTTCATCTCAATATCTTAAGATAGTTTAAGCGCAGCATATACTTAATTTTTAATTCGTGCCTGTAATAGCTTAGGACTAAATTCTGTAAAAATATAATAAGCTATGTTCGCAAGGAGATCACAAGTGAACTATTATTATTTACTTCACTTGGCTAAAATCAGCCTGCGGTGTAAGTGATCCACACAGCGCCGAACCACTGCGCTGTAGGGTACATGGCTTAGTATGGACCAAGTATTATAAGCTTTAGAATTAATAATACTCTAGTCGGGTGTCGCCGACATTTTTAGAGAATAAATATAGAACTTAAATGTATGTTTTTACGGATATGAAAGGCTGTTGCTTTTATCCAAAATTTGAAAAATTCCGTATCTGTGTACAATGTATTATCTGTACAATGATTTATTTTTAGTTATGCAAGAAGAACGAATTCTTAATATTGATTTTTATTTATATTATGGAAATAACACGGAATATTCTCGTAATGAGAACATATATTTTAAATTTAAAATCTGTAGCTCATATAGACTGGTAGAATTTAATGGAAAGACGCAGCTCGTCAACCTGTTCAAGAATAAACATTCTTAATCGGGTCGCAGATACTTTCCTTTGCCTATAATCGCAAAACCATTATACTCGTTTTACCCATTTAAATTGGTTTAGAGTTTAAAAACCGCTTTGGCTATGAGTAAAGGAAATTCATCTTTGGCAATGAGGCTTTATCTTGACGGCAACCAGCTAGTACCGATATAAAACTGGTTCAGAAATAGGTTTAGGCTTCGATGCATAGGGCGACCGACAATGCTAAATCTAGTAGGGTTTCATCACTCGGAATATCAAATCTGCAACACCATTGGTAACACTGTTGGCAACCAGTGAAGTACCACCTTAAAATCTGATCAAAAAACAATTTCTTCTAAAGGCACATGCAAAATGTGTCTATTTTTGGCACCCAACGCCATGGCACCGGTTTTAGCTTTCAAGGCGCAAATTTTGATAAAGCCAACAAACTACAAATGTGGTCCTTTCCGTTTTATTCCAGGCATATAAGTAACACCCATTTTGACAATTGGTGATCTTCTAAATGTCGATGAAACGTGGTATGCGGATTGACTTTAACTTTTTAAAAGATTTTGTTATATTTTGTAGTCGGTTAAAAAATAAGAGTGAGTTTGATCATTCAATGCGAACTATGACCCGCTAATTTCCTTCATTAAAGCATTATTATTCGGGTCGTACAGACGAGAAACAGATGACAATATGTCTGTCGAGTACTTAAAAGCCTTATCGCGAGAACATCAAATGAGCACTAATGTTTTGGGGTCCTTCTGTTTGTCAAGGTTATGACGAATGGTTGTAGGACAGCAATCAACTCTTTATGCAAAACGTGCACAAACAGAAACTGTAGTTGAGGGTCTTCACTAGATATCAGGTCATCCACGTAGAAACCACTTCCTGTCGTTTTCGAAGATGGTCGATGTTACTCTGCCCTAAAAAGTCTCTTAAAAGCATTCTTGCAGTCTTCCCAAGCAGGAAGCTTCCTGTAGTCAAGGGTACACTATGTCTGCTTTGCTCATAGTAAAGTGTTTCAGATTATAGATTTCCTGATTGTCCAATGATAATAAATCCTCATAAATAGCCATAACATTAGGAAGTAAGCGGAAGTCAACTTTAGACAATTTTTTCATAAAATTTGCTAATAGCTGCCAATGCCTTCTTGTATTTATCATTTGTAACCTGATGAAACTAAATCGATTTAAAGGGTTGTCTGCAAACAGGATGTCATTAGTTCAACTTTTCTTAAGTTTATTATGCTTTCCCAAAAATCGCTAAAATGAGATACTTAACAGGCATATGATTTCTTTCATTTTTATACCTTGAACCCATTAAAATTGGTATATGTATATTTGTGCACATGTATGTCACAGGCAGAAGGAAGCATCCACGACCCCATAGAGTATCTATATTCTTGATCAGCATCAACAGCTGAGTCGATCTGTTTGTCCGTCCGTCTGTCCGTATGTTTGAACGCAAGGATCTAAGAACATATAAGAGCTAGAGACTTGAAATGTAGATCCTCCTAGTGCTCGCGGAGAGCGAGTTTGTTTTCGATAATCGACAACTTGGCCTGTTTTCAATTATTCGATAAAAATCAGTATCGAAATCAAGTTTTTTGTGCAAATTGGGTAAGTATTAAGAGCAAGAGTCACCAAACTTGATATGTTGCTTCTAGAATATTATATATATATCAAGTATTCGTTATTTTATACTTATCACCACCTCCCCGCTAGCTCCGCAGAGCTATAAATTGAGATAATAACCCAACTTGTATTACCCACCAATATAAGCCATAAATTAAATGCAATTGACATTTTGAGAATACACAAGGTCTCTATGGTACAATAAGATATACTGTGGAAAATTTCACTAAGATCGGTTAAGAAACAAAAGTTATGTGTTTACCGCAGCAAGCGTTAATTCCAAGAATTTCTGTATACATGTTTGCACATACATTCATACGCGTCTGCTTCGAATTCTTTCTACAGCATAGCAATTGCGATTGTTTTCTGTGCTGCTATTTATTTTAACTCTTTTTCCTCAATAGGACTCAATTATAGGTGTGGATGTTGAGTAGAGGCAGTGGCAAGTGGTGCGGTCTGTCGCGAGCTCGAGCCCTACGGGAGAAACTATTTTTTTGTGGCTAGTATGGCTGCTGAGTAGAGTCGGCAGCAAGTAATGCGATCAGATGCGAGTTCGAACTCTCCCAATAAAACATTTTTTAAAATTTATCTTTATAACTTCAAACGATCGCGTAGCTCGTTAGCATTTGGTGTTGGAATAAGTAGAGAAGAAGACTAGAACCTCTTACTTGTTTTCTTGCCAGTAGTGCTGTTTTGTTGGTTACTTGTTTTAAATATATTTTTATTTTAATTCAGTGGTGGAAAACTTAAGATTAATTTTTCTAACTTCAATATATTGGCAATGTTTCGGTAGCTGTTCTGAGAAGACGTAATTCTCCTCGCTATACGATGATGATGATGAGAAGTACGATCCCCAGAACTTCCATAATAAAAGAGTGCCGCTTTTTAAACCGATTAGTCCTAAATGGGGCGTTTCTGTAAATTGATGCACAAGTAAATAATATGGTAGAGTATGTTGGAATTAGTTAATATTAAGGTGGATGGCCGATCGGCTGAGTAAAATCGTATATTGATTTATTTTCGGGTCGGTTGACTCGATGCTGTCGCAGTGGCCAGAAATGCGGCGTAGGCGCCTTATGCAGGTGTCGTAATTTTCGATGACTGCTGTTTGTGTCACTGATCGCCGAAAACGCGGCGAAAACATTTCTTCATGGTAGCGTAGCTAACACCTAAGTTATCTAAAATAACAACATATAGGCATTCTACTTTCCAACATTTGGTTCCCGCACGTGGCTAGTCAACGTGCCAGGAAAAGCT